ACGACTCGGTTAATCTTAGAAGACTCTTTTGTTTTGCCTTCATTTTTCATAGCTTTTCCCTGTTTGAAAGAAGCTCAACATCGTCTTGGCGAAAAGGGCGGGATTGCATGGGCGAACTTCACTGCCTCCCCTTTGCCTTGACTTTGCCCCTTGTTTTCAAGAAAGGGCCGACAACGGCTAGTGCTTAAGTTCTAGGTTTACTTACTCATCCGTAGGCGTTGCTACTTCTCCGATTCTTGATTGATCAAAGAGTGGAGGAGCGTAGCTTTGTTCAAGGCTGTATCTTCAGCGCTGTCATTTTTTCCTGCTTGTACTGCGAAGCGGTCACTCTCAGTTTGATTATATTACCTACCCCTTCATACTGAAAGCAATAAATAATTCTCTAAGTATAATGTTAAGATGGCGCCACCAAGCGCGTTTGGAAAGAATGGCCGAGAAGAAACAAAAGAGAGAAGAGATTGAGAAGAACAAGTCAGCAAGTAACAGTAAAGTTGAGGTTTGTTCTTCGAGTACTTGTCAAATGTTATATTTTCCTTACATCTCGTGGTCTTTAATGCGAATGCGCATATTAGCTCTTCGCTCTATTCACGGTTGAACATATCTGTACGGTTCTCTCCAAGGGATCTTTCTTCATAAGCAAAGGTTCCAGCGGGGCAAACTTGTTATGTTGGCTTTCATACATAGGAGAGATCAGCTTATACTGTTTAATCCCTCTCTTTTCTGGATGATAATGGATCGATTGTGTTTTGTTGTTTTAAGAGATGTGGCTCCTTCTAACACATATTGTTTGAAGCTAGGGTATTGACGCTGTTATGATATGGTCCCGTTAACTCGTTCTCTTTGAAGGAACTCGAGCAGAAACTGAAATCGGCGGATATCAGCGCTGAGGAGAAGGAAAAGATCGAGAAAGAGATTGCGGAAATCAAGGATCAGGAAGCTAAATGGTTGGCGAAGGAGAAGGAGCTCGAGGTAGGTCTCTTGAGTAGTGTTTGGTAGACTTCTCCGTGAATATGTTCATTACTTTTGTATCTCTTCATGTATGTCGCAGATGGAGAAAGCGTCGTATTAGTCACATAGAGCTAAGCCAGTTGTTATCCTTTTAAGGAACAAGAGCGGCTTGAACCGTGGAATGTGGACACCATCGGACATGAAGCCTTCAGTTATTCACGTATTAACAAAATCGGCGAAAAGAAACCGCCACCAAAGTTGTCCGATGAGGAGGATTCAAAGAGAATGGTTGGTAACATCTATATAAGTAGTTTCAGTATTTTACTTCTTTTCTTGGGATTGCTGCGTTACAACTTTTGTGATTCGCTAATAACCTCCCTTCTTGTGGTCTTTCTTCTCATTCTTTTTCGCCTGCTATTTTAAGTATGAAGGGGAACACATCGTTTCATAGTAATGAATTTTTGAAGAGGGGCGATTGCTTTTCAAACTATGGGAACGGTTTGGTTACGAATGAGGTTACTTTATTTCAGTTATTTCAGTATTTCACTTAGATTTCAGACGAGCTTCTTCGATCAAAACGAAAGCCTGATTCAAGAGTATGGGAGGCTAAAAACATTGGAAGAATCTGAAGAGTTTATTCTTGAGCACCCACATCTCGCTAGCGAGTACACGGCCAACTACCTTACGATCGATGCGCTAAATCTGGCAATCGATTATAAAGTATGTTGTGTTTTTGCACTCGTTATTATTATACCAGTCTTCATTCGCCTTCCCAAAATTGCATCCAAAAAATGCTCGCATTCTACTTTTAGGACGAAGAGATGAGTAATGTGGCTCGTCAGTGTATCGTTGTGCAGTATCTGTTAGAACTCGCGAGAAACATGAATGCTATCCCAACGAATATCAACATTATTAAAGCTTTCTTCAAAAAGTGCGTAACCTAGTTTTACTACTTTGTTTGCTAAAGTTTTCGGTGGTAGATTGGTTGCTATTGAAATGGGAAAGATGAGTTGCGCTGCGGTCACAGCGATACTGTTCACGTGAAACGGCGACCACTGTTTCTACCCTGCTATATCCTGAGAAGGACAGTTTTATTAAAACGTCGATTGTCAAAGATTTGAAGTAGTCTTATTGCTCGCCACATTTCATACTACTTTTCCATTTGTACTGAACAATCCGTCCAACTTCGAGAGAAAGAGTTTGTCTATAGTTTAGGAAAACTAGAAGTTTACTCGCAATACCATTCTGCTAATGTTTTCCATATTTTTGACTGATAACTTTTCAGATTCCGAGCTGCAGATCCGCAATATCTCAAATTGTACACGGATGAGGTGGCAGCATTTGAAGATAGATTAAGGCGGCGTGCTAAAGAGAAACGAGATGCCGCGCTTGCTGAGTACGAGGCTGAAGAAAAGGTTGGTAGAGTCAAAGCTTCTAGTGTTTTGCCGGTTCTTGGTATCGCTTTAACTATTCCGAACTTTCGAGTTTACTTTTGCGTTGGATGTGAAAAAATGTCGTAGGTGCAGCATTTTCTCTGTATTACCCCTTCTGACAGCAAGGAATCATGGCGACTTAGGTGCAGCATTTTCTCTGTATTACCTGTACTGACAGCAAGGCATCAAGGCGACGTAGGTGCAGTATTTTCTCTGTATTGAGACAGCAAGGCATCAAG